TCTCGGAATGTGCGCGCTCTGATTCCCCTAATTAAGTGATTTTTATGCGCAGGACAGGATGTGCGATGCAATCCTGAGGAATCACCTTAACAGAGGTGAAAATTTCAGTAATTAAAGGAAACATTTTACGGGACTCTGACAACCAACCAATCAGTACAGAGTGACTGCTTTATAGGTGCTCTTTAATACAGGCTCGACTGGAATCACAACGGCCATTTGAACAAAGAAAACCTTCACAAGGACACATTGAAAACTAAGACTAAAAACAGCAATAATAATGCGATCCTTGTTTACTTATACTTATGTCACTCAGTTGAAAGCTACTCTCATTGGAGTTTTTTCGTTGAATCTACACCGCCAATGAGAGGTGCAACTGGGTTAAGCGCGGGGAAATACAAATGTTTAAGCCGTGCTTGGATTTAATCTCTTTTTTAACTAGATTTGTTGAGACGATGCTGCAAGCTTTCTAGACCAATCAACAAGCGTAGAGAGGCAAAACCAGAAGAACGCCGATTGAATTTCGACACCATATTGAACATTGATATGACTGAGTTCACAGGCCACCGAACCGCAAATCAAGTAAATAAAATTATTATCTCACAAAATTGATGTGAGGAGAAAAACATAAACGTTCAGTTGCATACATAAATGATACTATGAGAAAGCAATACATGGAAGGGTGAGATGTTTTGTGTTATTTATTCTCTGTTGTTTTGCTCTGATGACTCTCGCATTTAAAGAGCATTAGAAGTAAAATGCTATCACTTAAACAAATTGTGACTCGGCGAAATGAAGTCCTGATCAAATTGAAAAAAGTGAAGGGAGATGGGTGGGATTGGGTAAGCTTATGACTGGTGGGGTGAGGGGGAGTGAGACGAAGGAATGGAGAGAGATGGGTGTTGTGGCTGAGGTAGGGTTTGATTAGATGGTCTTGGTGTAGTAGCACTGATAGGTTGGGTACTATTAGTAAGATGGGGGGTGAGGTGGGTAAGTTGCGATGAGGTGGCTTGAACGAGAAAAGATGTATGAGATTAAATGAGGTTCGGTTCGGTGAGGAAAGATTGATTGAGCTGAGATGGGTGGAAGAAGCTTGACCAGATGTCTAGTGTCCTGTTGTTTTGCTTCGACCATTCTACATCTTATAGACAGCGTTCACACACACGCAGACAGTTCACCGCTCGCCGCACTCAGATCGTGAGATCGCGTTATTGGTGTCCAACGCCTTTCGATTACCAGCCTGTGTTAAGGAGGATTGGGGAATGGACCGAGAAAATAGTAAATTAATTTTCTTATCTGTCGGTTTAATGGGAGTTAACCGTTTTATGAGCCCTAAGTGAGGAGCAGAGACATGTGCTTCACCGTTTTGTGTGTGCGCTCAAGCCCACCGCTAAGCACCAGCTCCACAGGCTAAGAAAACGGCAGAAGTTAAGCCTTTCAGAGCTTGAGATCGCATGACATATTAACCGATAGCCGAGTATAAATGACTTACAAAGACCTTACAGTATAATCTTTCTTTTTCTTCCGCCCGCCAATCAGGTGAAATCAGGCGTACCCTTCCCTGGAGCGTGCGCAAATATGACAAGAGAAAGAAGGTATAATCGCAGGGCATCACCGTCATACTCTAAGACAACTAGTCAAGTAAGAGTAATATGTCCCCTTGTCAACCAAACCCATTCCTATGTTTCTTTTGAAGGCGCTCCCCAATAACTCGTTTCGAGGAATTGAATTTGTATGAATTGCTTTCAATATGGAAAAAGTGTGCAAGAAAACATCAAAAGGGATCCACTTTCAGCAAACGTTGTAAAACATTCAGTACCAGTAGACAGATAATGTATTTTTCAGCCTTAATTCAATCCAGTCGGCCCACTTAACAACAAATAAAACTTAGAAATATGCCGAGAAGTAAATATATTAAGTAGTCATTTCAAAAACTAGGGAGTCAGCGAGTGAGTCATTCAAATAGCAAAGGCTGCATTAGTGGATGCCACCCCGTCCTGTAAAAACGAAGAAGAACTACAATAGCACACAACTTAAAAGGCATTTATAAAGTAAATAAGTATATCTGAAATTTTTTTCAGGTCTGATTTTCACTATTGCTCAAATAGTGCTTTACTGCGAAGGATCGTGCACATATACGTTTCATAACCGCAGTTCATACATATGTTTCATATGTTTGTTGTTGTTTAAAAAAAATTGCATCACACGTAAAATTTTGAGGTAAATAAATTCGACGTAAATAAAACCCAATCAAGTAGGTATTTCTCAAAAGCTGGAAAATATAAGACAATGAAACCTATCAAAGTACGATTTTAGAATTTTCAACCCTTCTGTTTACATGCCGACATGTCAGAAGATCCCAATTTGCTAACTAAAGCTATACAGGCATCTTAAACACCTGTTAGAAGCACAGAATAACATCGAGTCTCTAAGTACAATTCACACCCGAATTTATATACGTCAGTAGGATGTTATAATTGTACACGTGCATAAACAAATCAGCAAGGTATAAGCCTCTAAGGACTTCATTAAATCAAAACAAGCCACGTTTGAAAATTTCATGAAAATTTAGCTTGCCGCATCGCACAGACGCAACTATAATTTATAATATTTAGAACAACTAAAACCCCTGTTACTTATAGCCAAGCAACCGCTGGATCGAATTCAGGGGTTTCTTCCGAAAGAAAAGAAATAAACTTTGCATCGGTTGATTCTTTAAACAGGATATTAACGGATATAAAATTAACTCAGAAGGTAAATAACGCCAGGTGCTTGTGGAAATCGAATTTATGACTTTCCTTGAAGAATTTGTGATGTCAACCAAATTATGTTTGCCAGCCTCAAGCTGGGTTACCTCAGTTTTGAAGATATCGTGAGAGCTTGGTATTCTTCCTAGTTGATCCACCACCATATACATGGAAAAGAAAAAGACACAGAACATGGCCCCGCCAAGTAAGACAATCCATTTTTTCATTTTCCACGAAATCCTCGCAAAATCCTTTTTACGAGCTACAGATTCGAACTGANTTTGATTTATCATCTACGGGTTTATATCGAATTAATTTGATGGCCTGCTCCCAGTTGGCTTGTTAGCTCAATTGGTAGAGCGCTGCACTAGTATCGCAGAGGTCAGTGGTTCGAGTCCCGTACAGGCCTGAAATTTTTTTCAGGTCTGATTTTCACTATTGCTCAAATAGTGCTTTACTGCGAAGGATCGTTCTCATATACGTCTCATAACCGCAGTTCACACATATGTTTCATATGTTTGTTGTTGTTTGATTTATCATCTACGGGTTTATATCGAATTAATTTGATGGCCTGCTCCCAGTTGGCTTGTTAGCTCAATTGGTAGAGCGCTGCACTAGTATCGCAGAGGTCAGTGGTTCGAATCCCGTACAGGCCTGAAATTTTTTTCAGGTCTGATTTTCACTATTGCTCAAATAGTGCTTTACTGCGAAGGATCGTTCTCATATACGTCTCATAACCGCAGTTCACACATATGTTTCATATGTTTGTTGTTGTTTGATTTATCATCTACGGGTTTATATCGAATTAATTTGATGGCCTGCTCCCAGTTGGCTTGTTAGCTCAATTGGTAGAGCGCTGCACTAGTATCGCAGAGGTCAGTGGTTCGAGTCCCGTACAGGCCTGAAATTTTTTTCAGGTCTGATTTTCACTATTGCTCAAATAGTGCTTTACTGCGAAGGATCGTTCTCATATACGTCTCATAACCGCAGTTCACACATATGTTTCATATGTTTGTTGTTGTTTGATTTATCATCTACGGGTTTATATCGAATTAATTTGATGGCCTGCTCCCAGTTGGCTTGTTAGCTCAATTGGTAGAGCGCTGCACTAGTATCGCAGAGGTCAGTGGTTCGAATCCCGTACAGGCCTGAAATTTTTTTCAGGTCTGATTTTCACTATTGCTCAAATAGTGCTTTACTGCGAAGGATCGTTCTCATATACGTCTCATAACCGCAGTTCACACATATGTTTCATATGTTTGTTGTTGTTTGATTTATCATCTACGGGTTTATATCGAATTAATTTGATGGCCTGCTCCCAGTTGGCTTGTTAGCTCAATTGGTAGAGCGCTGCACTAGTATCGCAGAGGTCAGTGGTTCGAGTCCCGTACAGGCCTGAAATTTTTTTCAGGTCTGATTTTCACTATTGCTCAAATAGTGCTTTACTGCGAAGGATCGTGCACATATACGTAAGTATATCTTCATACTCAAAAATGAAATCTCGAGCAACTATTCTTCGCCAGACTCCAATCGGCCAATACCTCATAAATGTTAAAGTAAGACTGGACGCGAGTTAATTTTCTTGAATTTTTAAATCTATTAACTTCACCGACAGGCAGGGACTCCGCAAAAGCTTGCGCCAATTACTGCGGGCCCAGTAAACAGGCCAGACCACGTCACAGTAACCTCATGAGTGGGTTCTTTAACATCTCCTGCCTAACTAAATGAACTAATTAACAGATGCAGGAGACGGGACCTAAGGTTTATTCGTCCTTATCCGAGAAGACTAGAATGTCTATTCATTTCTTGATGTTAGAAAGGTAGCACATTCTCCTCAATTATTTTAAGACCTTGAGTGTTGGTTCGGCCGGGCTCGAACCCTCTACCTCCCGCACATCAGTCTGGCACAACAGTCCGGCGCTCTAACCGTTAGCAGGACGGGGAAAACTAATGATAGAGTTACATCTCTATTTTAGTGGACGTTTAAATTGAGAATTCACCTCACATTTTACTCCTTCCCTTCAATATCTGCCAATAATTGACTGATTTCGCTATTTTCGAACCATTATTCATTTTAATTTGTTCTGCTAACCTATATTCTTCGATACTTAAATAGAAAATTTTATTACGACAATGCTTCCCACAAGAGGAATCTTAAAATAAACTAATCGATAAATATCTATCGTGTAATAGAAATTCTCTAGCGCACGTGACTAAGATGTGCTGATATGTTATAAATAAAGTCAATCACAGAGAAAACACAAAATTTTTTGTTAATCTAATTTTTAGCGGCATTTAAACTCAACCTGTATGATCTATGACAAACTTTAGGGAAAAGAACTCAAATGTTCCGAATAACAGCATGTGAACTATTACGAAACCGCAATAGTTCCTAAACTGCGAAAGGTACCCGATTCCCCGTTTTTAACTTGTATGCTCGCTTTAAGATTAAGGTCGGTGTCTACCTTCACAATATACTTGGACACAGATGTTAGAAAATGACAGGTTTTGGGAGGTAACTCAAGGGAAATGGGCAAAGTATTGGTGAAAACCCTTTGATCCGTTGAGCCTGTCATAGTAAATTCATATGTTGCATTTGAGCAAACATTAGCTACTTCCAATGCAAAAGAAAGCGATCCGTGATCTCGTCTCAAAAACAACAAACAGTTGGAGTCCAGGTTCTTTACAGCTGTCTTCGAATCAAACATTCTGCTTGGAACACCGTTCTCAAACAACAATCCTTTCTTAGCGACGTCAGAGGTTTGGGTTTTAGCGCATGCGCAGAGCTTGATATCGACTGACTTGTCTGCACAATGTGCAAACTTGCTGTAGGTCGATACTCTAATGGAATTTAGAAAAAACACTCCGTCTTTCGGTTGAGCGAACTGTTTGACCGAGACTCTAAACACTTCATCCTCATTGTATCCAGTAGGAGGGAACACGTGAATGTCCATACTCGTTACGATAAATTCTCCTCGGTTTCGTTTGATCCCTTTTGAAAACGATTTGCCAACTAAGCGTTCGCAATTTCCATAGCCAGTTGAGTTGGCACCTGAAAAGAGGAGAAAAACGTATACTTGAGGTTATGTCTCCATGGGCAAAGATTACGCACTCAAACTTGTCGATCTGCCCAAAAGGGAATTGCAACTATTAATACAGAGCATGAAACCAGGCAGGGGATGTTTATACTCAAATTGGCGATTTGATGCAAACGTGGCGCCAATGCCAGTGTCATGAGACAAAAGCTATGTAAAAATACAGGTCAAAATATTGTATTTTCAAGGGAGTTATCTGGTGTCCCTGTGGGACCCCAAATATCGCAAATGAGCGACTACTTTTGGTTATAATTCCTACATGGGTAATAGAAGCCATTACAGTTCTCATTAATTGGTTAAATGTTTCATGAACTGATTTCTTTATCCGTGCNAGCTGCTATTAAGGTTTAGTTAGTTACATTAATAAAACCTTAGTAAAACGATACAACATTATACTCTAGCTGTTCTACACGGCAGATCACATCTCAAGCCGAAAGCATGAATGCAACCCCGGCAGGCCTCGGCGTCTGGTCAAATGATTCAAACGTGGCCCTGAATTCTAAGAAAACCAAGGCCATTCTCATCTCAACTCCACAGATGGCTCAAGTACATTCTCTCGGAAATCTGGAGTTGGGATTAGAAATCTTCGGTAAACCACTGGAACGTATAAACGTTACAAAACTCCTGGGAGTACACATTGACTCGAATCTTAAATGGGAATTTCATATCAGTTCTATTCTAAACTCTTGTTATGCCACTCTGAGAACCTTAAGAAAATTAAGGAAGTTTACTAATTTAAACTACGGAAACATTTGGTAGAAACATTAATTTTGTCTAAAATAAGCTACTGTGATATTGTTTTTTATCCACTACCAAACTTCCTCTCAGCTAGACTAAAAAGGCTCCAGTTCGCTATGGCTAGTTTCATCACTTATAAATATGTAAACAGTATATCTATCATTTTGGATCTCGGCTAGCTACCTATCCTGGAGCTAAGGGACTACTCGCTACTAAAGACTATTTTCAAAGCACTGTATTCTGATAACTGGCACTTCCATTTAAGTTTGCAAGTCGTTAAACCTGTTAGGCATCTCCGTTTCAGTGTTGCTCCAAGGCTTTATGTTTCATTTGTACAAGGCACCTTTCAACATTCAGCAGCCATGATTTTTAACGAATTGCCAGCAAATATAAGGAATTGCACAGGTGTTAAAGAATATTGCAGGCTCTGCAAGGCGTTCTTAAAGGCACGTGCTTTGTCTTCCTTGTAAAGATATAGAAACAACCAACACCACCAACCAATATATTCTACATATTTACTTTCATGCATAGCTTTTATTACAATTTAGTTTGTCATAATTTAGTTTTAATATTAAATATTAGTATCGTAGGCCTTCACAGATGAAGAGCCACACTTTTTATGTGGATATACTGTGAATAAACCGTTATTATTATTATAAACCTTTGTGTTCTGCAGAAACAGACGAATAAAATTTCCTAAAAACCTACACAACACTTTTATCGAACAAAGCATCATTTCAGCATGGACTCGGTAATTACCTCTCTCTGAACTCAAAATTCCACTGAGGCACTGCTCTTTTTTCAATGTCTGTTAACACGCTTCCCCACTCATCGTACCAACAAAGATCCTCTTGGAAGAACGTCTGGTAGCCCCATTTCTTGAAGGTCCCATACAACACCTCTACACCTAGGGAAGCTTTAGTGTTTTTTGCAGAGGCTGTAACTTTGTTGTCGTCTGAAAACGTTACAAAAGTGTTTTCATTAATCAAACATAAAGAAGTCACCAAGATGGGATAACTTACACCATTCAGTTTTCAATGGAGTTAATTCCACTCACCTACAACGACGCCACAGAAGATCGGCCTTAGGTTTTCAAATGTCTGTTGTCCTGTGCTCTGAACAAGTTCAAAGTCTAAGGTGGTAGCCTTAATCTTAGGATCATGCGAAATATTCTGCAGAGCCTCTACAGCCCTTGGAAGAATTCGGTAAAAATGCGGCCTGGAGATAGAGTCCAACAGAATCACATTTAAATTGATTTTCGTTCTTTTTTTACCGCCGTCGACTTTCTTCAAGACCGGAGGAAAGCTGAGCACTTGGAAAATGCCTCCACATCTTAGGAAAAGAAAACTAAATCCTTTTTCCAAATTGGTTTTGACGGCTTTCTGAACTGCTAAATCAATTTGTTCTTTTGACAATAGTCTCCAGTCCGTCACGGCTTTTCCCATTTCTGGATCAACAGAAGCTATTTCAATCGCGGATAAGCCACAGATCTTAGGGTCACATGACANGAAAATAGTGTGTATGACAAACATTTGACTCTAGAGTCTGGCGTGGTTATACGTGTCTGCTATTTATGTCAAAAGGGCCCAAGCCTCAACTGCAGTCAGTTAGAGATAGGTACCCAAAAACTGCTTGAACAAATCGACACCCGAGTGTAACCTACGCATAAGGTCTGGGGGAAACACAATGCGCAGTAAATTTTTAGAAATCGTCCTTTTCCAAAAGTAAGCTCCAGCGAAAGAGGACAATTCAAATAACTTATTTTTAACGAAAAAGTCGATGGATACATGCTAGAATTTTACTCAGAAATTGAGGTAAAAGATGAAAATCGCTAAATCACAAACAAGCACGTGGATAGAATTCAAAGTATTAAGTCAGTGCGTGACGAGGTCACCCTTGAAATCACAAGACATCCAAGATCATGAACATCGTTCTCCTTCATCGAACGCAATTATGTTCAGACTTCTTCAGAGGAAGTTCTAAGACCTTTAAACAATAAATTTGTATTAGGTTCAGGAAAAACCTAGGTCACGATACCATAGGTGTAAGCAACATAACTAGAATTGCAGTATGCGAGACATTTGAGCGTTAACTATGTTTGATGGATTATAATGAAGTTATGAACCTAATGACTCTCTGGAGAGTCTCTTGTGGTTCAGTGGTAAGGCGTCGGAGCACAGAATCCGAGGGTTTTTCATAAGTTCGACTCCTGTTGGAAACTCAGAATTTTCTCTTTGACCCACGCTCAGTAAAAGGCGAAAACTATCTTTCTTTGGAATTGAGCAGAACTTTGAGGACCTGAGTTTTCTAGTCCTGAACATAGCATGTCAGCGTGCGAACGAAAATAGAACCACAATGATTTACCAAACGTGGACCTAGGCGCTTGTTTCGGAGATATTCGCCTATGAAATGACCAAGTAGAAGAAATAAAACAGCTATGTTAACTATAATTATACTGTAGTTTAAACATATGATCCCACAAATAACATCTTGAAGATATACACCAAATAGTGACTTAGTGACTCTCTGGAGAGTCTCTGGTGGTTCTGTGGGAAGGCATCGGTGAGAGCGCAGAATCCGAAGGTCTTTTATAAATTCGATTCCTCTCGGAGACTCAAAAATTTTCTCTTTTGACCGACGCTCGGTAAAAGACGAAAAAGTATCTTTCTTTAAGTTAAAGTTTAGCAGATCAGGAGCCTGACCGTTCTAGTCCTGAGCATAGCATGTCATGTTCGGTATGCGGACCGAAAGTACAACAGCGATTGTACTTTCGGTCTGCATACCGAACAGTCTTTTACAGCGATTCACCGAACGTAAACACAAGCGGAAGTTTCGGAACTGTTCGCTTAAAAAAATAACTAAATATAAGAATTAAAACAGCTATTGAAACTTTAATCACACCATAGATTAATGTATATGATCCCAGTAATAACATCCTGCCAGAAGTAAAGATTTAAGAACACGTCTCACCGTTCTTGCTTGCTTTCTCCGCTTCAGGAAACAGTTATGGTGGCTCCAGAAGGAGTTGTTGTTGTTGTTGTGTAGCTATGCTGTTCAGTTACGGTATTCGGTTATGCTTTTCAGTTTTACCCTTTGGTATTTACACCATTCAGTGCATGATGAAGTGTTCTGAAGCA